AATACTAAGTAGTATACAGTCCAGTGCCTTCCGAAAATTCACGAAGCAAACCAGCGGCTTTAATGTATATTCTGACCTAAAAACGTGCTTCGCGAAGCATCTAGACGTAGCAGTGCACTGAAGATTTTCCGTCTCCACGACCAATTCAGCCATACTAAGGCGCTTGCTTGCGGCAGTGCAGAGCCTCTCACAGTAGGTTGATCAGTGGTTAAAGGTCTGACCAAAATAGTTTATTGTCTCTTCAGATTTGGATTTGGATTTGCGTACCACACAATAGGGTGGATTAGTAAATGGAGGCTACTTCTGGTGTCTCTATGCTTTCTCCTTCAGGTGACTTTTCTTCGTTACCAACCTATTATCGATGCTATTATTGTTGGTATGTCTCTAAACTTAACTGCTCCATTCGACTCCCACTGGACGTGGCCGCAGGATCAGTGCACCACTCAACACCAACAGTTTAAGGCACCATGGTATAGTGGGTTAAAAGCTCAAATAGTTGTGCGGTTGCAGAGGATTTGAGTGCACACTTGGGCAGACTGAACGCGCCTAACTCTCAGTGGGTGGTCTGCTTGAACGAAACTTTGTTCATACGGACAACGGTGAACGCCTGGTTTGATTTCTGGTTGACCGCAGGCTGTTTTCACGGGGTAACAACTTCTGATGGTCTAAGTAGTTTGACTACATGGTACGCTCCAACAGCCTGCTATACAGCTTGACTATGTCGCCATGAGATGGCGCTGGTACCGCTCACTGAACAACTTATCTCTCCTTTTGGAACACTTGTATGAACACTGACGATGTGATTGGCCTCACTTCTTTGCATTTTGGGGCCCCATAGGCGGCAGGTAACTAGCCTAGCAGCCCAGGGGCTCGCAGATCCATTAGTTGAGCGAAAACACTAGAAAAATGTTTTCGGTTGAACTGAATTAAATCTTTTGCCATACATTCCACACTCACAAAGTGTAGGTTTGGACCCCAGGACATGCAGCAATTTAGCGTACCATTTACAATCGAAAGAGTAAAATTTGTGTTTGGGAACATATCGCGTAAACTGAAAAAGGCGATTATAGTGTGACGAATGAGGCTGGTGCGCGGATATATAAGTCTCAGATGGTGTTTGTTAGATTGAAACATCTATGGTAGTAAAGCGGCGCATCCTTGAGTCTTAAAGGACGTGTGAACCAAGTTGCTGTCTTGCACGTACGGGATCATGATTTGCCGAGATGGGTACGGTTTTCCGCGATCAGTTTCCAGTGGCGCAAACAGAACGGTGAGCGAACTTTGGCCTGGCAGATGGCTGTGAAACCGAATACAGAAATCGTGGCTGCTGTCAATGTGACTGACTTTCTAGAATAGAGTTCGCGTTATCCTCCACGTGGAGGATTAGAGATGTTGCATGTAATGGGTGCTAGTCGATGTCAGTGGCATTCTTGTTCCTGAATGAGTGTCTGGAATTGCATCCATCTCGGCTAGCAGCGATCTCACTACCATCCACTTTTACCCTTCTCTTCACAATTAGGTTTTCAAACAAATTATGGTGGTACGACAGTTTTAAACAATGAGACTGTGCAGCCAACTGACGGTGATGTTACTCCAAATCTGAGCGCGTGGGTAGTCTTTCACTGATGATTCCTTGTTGCTCAGTGTAAAAATAATTCGGCAAGACATCAGCAATGGATAGTGATTTTGAGCTTCTGGTCGTCCTCTAAGTTCTCAACAAATAATGACCTCAACATGCGGACGTTTTTCTGCCTTGCCTCGACAGAGTAATATTCCAGTCGGTACCAAAGATCCATGTAGGAAGTCAGTCTTGGAATATTGTTGAACCTGCGCTGATGCGTGCATGAATTTTATTTTTACTGCAGTAGTTGCCACATTGGGGTCGCTACGCTGACGATTGATCGAAGTTGACCCGTTTGGTATACCGATGAACAGTCTCTTTTAATGGCAGAACAGCTGATTGATTCATTTGGTCACATGATACCGACAGAAACAAGAGTCAGACTAAATTTTTGTACGTGCATTTGGGGAATATTATAAACGATAGTTTCAGCATGTTCTCAGTTCAGTCTGCTGTTAACGCCAACTTAGTGTGCAAATAAGCGCATTTCGCCAAGTGTAACTGCGTATTCAGTTGTTCAATTAGATCTCTGCATGGATAGATAGATACTCCCAAACACAGGGTCAAACATTACTGGAACCAGAACCAATTGTACGATCCACAACGTGGTGAAAGATCGATATTAGCCATGGTATTCGAGACAGCGTCACTTTCAAACATGTTTTAAGGGGCTTACCTTTTCTGTTTCAATAGGTGTGATCACACAACACTTTTTAATTCACCTGCAGCAATCCACTCTCTCTCTCTCTCTCTCTCTCTCGCCCCCCAATGCGACCCGCTGGCTACGGATGACAATCTGAATTGTTGAGCTGTTCGTCACTCCATATTCGAATTATCCCCATAATGACAGCAAATTAACTCGCCCCCATTAAAGCATCAGAAAAAGAAGGGATGAAAGGTTGAGTGAATAATAAAGGAATGAAGTGCGAACGTGAATGCTATTTTTAATTATAGTATACGTTTTGAGATCTCATGACCGAATCGTTTCATCATGCTGCGCTAATTTTGGCCCCCGATATTGCATTAGGATTTGCCCTTATGTGATCTTCATTTACAATGCGGTGGACGTACCATGCAGGCCTTTATGGAGCTTCCTTATCAGGTTATCTAGCGTTATTCTAAAACAACGCTAGTATAGAACAATGCCATTGCGCTATATCAACCAGTCTCTACTTAGTTGATTAGCTTCTTCTAAGCCAATAGCGAGGATATGTGCACCGTAAAGTTAATTGGAATGCTCATCATCGTGCCGAAGTTAAGGAAGCTAGGAAACAGGATGATGGATTCGGTGGCATCGTTGGCATTCGTTGTATTTTCAGCTTGTTGGCTACTGACTCCAGTTCATTTGGCCTGCATACATCGATTGTCAGGCAAGTTTACACTTAAGAGACTAGCATGGATTTTAGTGCGCTTTCTAAGCAGTCCATCCGTTTGCCGTTTGACACGATGAATACTTGTATATTTCGCTTAGTTAGACTTACAGTCGCCCGTCATCAGCGGGACTCGGACTTTCTACTGTTGCATTAAACGTTGACGACTAAAAGAACACATCTATACTTGGTTCCTGAGGAGTCTTAAAATGGTTAGCAGGCCCTAAAATCAGACAGTTTGTGTGACGTTGACAATCGTTCCCGAGAATATGAAGCCGGTTCAGAACATGCAGGTAGTATATAGTATGTAGTAGTGAAGGGAAGAATGCCTTCGTTGCGGAGTTATTTATTAGGAAATGCCAACTGACCGGTTACAGACCATTGGACAGGAAAGCAAAACTCTAATTTGCACCTTATTTAAAAAATTAGACATCCATCTTCTCCTGAACGCGTCTTCTTGAACTTTTCTGGAGATTCATTGAATCCAATCATTCCTCGTTCAAATCCAAGCAAATGCTACAAGGCGACTCCACGAATTCCGCAGAAGATCTCCCCTTTTCAAAAGACGCAAAGCGAAATTCCACGGACCACACATACTACTCGCGTGCCTCCCCCTCGATAATATCACCGTTACAGTAGTATAGTAAATATATATATTATATACAGTGTAGTATATACTATGTAGTATATATATATATTATATAGCATATACAGTTTATAGCATATATAGTACTTCAACATGGGGAAAGAAAGAACTTTAGACCGGGGAGATCACTTTCCTTTCTTGAGAAACCACATCACACCTCGATGGTCGTTGGTTTTGTTGCTGAGCTTGGCTGTTTGGTTGCAAAATTTTCATTACGAGTTGAGATGGCTTGGTGAGTGGAAGTGCAATGCTGTTGAGCACATATGGATTGAAATAGGGTATACTCAGCCAGGTCAACCTTGACCAATCACTGGTGGTTTGGATGATCACCGCTTTTAACCTGTTAGCTCGCCTGTCTTCTGGTTGAGGGATGAACGTGTAGCCTTGAGAATTGACCTCTCCTCTACCTCAGCCATGACCTTTTGTCGTTTGCCTCCAAAGTGAGTCGCGCTTCCTGGTCCGTTAGTCTGATGGCTGAGACTCACTCAGTGTAAGTTTGCGTTCCCTTGCTCGTTGCGGTGTGTAGACAGGGTCGGTTTTAGTATGCCAGCTGGCTAAATCGATTGCAGAGTAGCGTGAGTCTTGAATTTCCCTCCCGTACCCCATACGTTTGTGTGCTACAATATATACATTTTCAGTATCAAAATAGTATCCTTCCTGATCTCGTATAGATTGATTGGATATTGGTGATGACCACGTTGTTTCTTTAGTCCTGTGGGATTTTTTCCAGATTGTCTAGTATAATATTGGTTGCCGTCTGTGACTTTGACTCCGTGCCTTCAGCGGTCTTATCCTCTAGCCTTGAGATCAGTTTCCTTAGTGTGGGCAAATAAGTTTCACTTTGGTTTAAGTGGCGTGGATGTCAATTCAGATATTTTCTAAATATACGAAAGGATTAGTTCTCTTATTCGATTATTCTTCATTTATCAGTCGTTCCCGAAGGCCTTCTGCTCCAATCTCCTCCTGATAAGTTTTCCCATGTGCAAAACAATACGTTCTTTTAAAATAAAAAAAAGACGCAGAGACATCTGGTTTGCCTGTTAAGATATCGGAATCGAGATGTCATGTCCTACTGATAAGGAATTATGACCGCAGAGCGTTTTTTCTTACGCAGTGCTGACAAGCCAAACCGCAGTATTCGTGGGCAGTATTGGACTTTAGTTGACTCAGTGTACACGCTGGCTTCGGAAAGCTACATAGCAACAGTGAAACATTTCATAAACGAAGTATCTTTGAAGGCTGTTTAGGTATTGTGCAGAATAAAGCGCAATATTTGTTTGATTTTCGAATAACCGTCACCGTGATATAAGAAAACTCCTCCGCTAAAACATAAAGTCTTACTGCTCTTTATTTTTTAGCTCAGTTAATTAACACTGGTCTGGGTGACAGCGGTGGGGCCAGACTTGGCCCGATGAAGCTTGGCACCCTTTATCTGAGGATTTGCGCCAAGACAAAGTTGACAAATGCTCCGTGTTCTGACACCGATTTGTATATCCAGAGTGATTGTCCAAATATATTTGTTTTTGTTTGAACCAGGTTACGGTCACGTGACTCCGCACACCGTGGCAGGCCAGATCATGACCATACTCTATGCAGTGGTTGGCATCCCGCTCTTTTTCTGCTATCTCACAACAAGTGGCAACTACTTGGCAAGCCTTTTCCGTGGGTGCTACGTTCGAGTGTGCCGACCAGCCTGTCATTCAATGGGCAAAGGCTGCAGTCGTTCAAACGGGACTATCAAACCCTCAAGGAAGCAGTCTCATATTAGTTTTGAGAAAAGGATATCCGCTAGTTCAGGAAGTACGAAGACATCCACATCTCACTGTCCAGGACCGGTATCGTGGACATACCCAAGCCCACACACGAAAACTCAGGTCATGTACGGGACCACACTCACGATGGACGATATGGTGCACCTCCAAATGAAACGTGGGGATGCTTGCTCAACTCAATATCATTGTACTTCCCGTGATATGGCTCAAGCGAGATGCGCCAAACGAGAAGCCAAAAACACGAGGAGGCCCTACATGCCCTCTAGCGTACAAAGTAACCAACAACCTCCTAGTCCCTATCTTAACCATCGACACCGCGAATGGAGTCATCGTTCCGGTTCTTCTTCCTCTTCCTCGTCTGCAACTTCAACCGAGACAAAATCTCCCCCACCTCTTACAGACAAGAAGGTAGACGCACCTTATGGTGACAGCTTGTATGAATTGGCCATCTTGCCTTCGTCCACTGCAGAGTCAGGAAGCCAGATAGTTTTGACTGAAAGAAAACAAGAGCGGCATTCGGTATCCAGTGAACCTAATAAACGTCGAATACATACCAGTGAGACCAAACCCCCAGTGGTTGAAGCCGAAAAGGTGGCGGTCCCAATCTCACTCACACTATGCATGATGGCTGTGTACATAGTTGTTGGAGCAACAGTGTTCACATTTTGGGAGGAAAAGGATTTCATAAGTTCATCCTACTTTTGCTTTGTCACTCTATCAACCATTGGATTCGGGGATATCGTTCCAGGTGAGTTTGATCTACGTGGCCATTGATTTTTTGGGAATCTGTGCACAGTACTTTTGATGATCAAACATTCCTTTTAACCAGTATTTGATTAGAGCTTCGTTTTTCTTACCGCAGCGTAGTAACTGCCTCCTCAAACTGATCAAAATTAGAAAATTTAACAGACAAAAGTGGTCACATTTAAAATAGGGAATTTCACAAGTCTGACAGCTACAATACTGGGATTTTAGCTATTCTTACTGGTCAACACTTCTAGGATGCTCTAAGTCGTGCGTCATTAGCCTGACGAGAGTTTTTGGATAAAAATAAAATCTTACGGCACATCTGTTTGTCCGTTCGTTGTGGGGACAAGAAAATATGTTTCCACTTTCCAGATTAGAGTGAACATTATGTGAGTCGAGGAACCTGGCTATCACCATGGTTTGTGGGGAAGGATTTGATGTTTGTTGCTTTGTGAAGTACTCATGTTGGTCTGTTTCTCATAATCTGCGGAAAAGTCCGATATATTAAGGAATCTTTGGGATTGGCTACATTCAGTGTCACCTTACAAATTGTAATAAATATCTGATAGGCATGAGTGTGACGATATAAGGACGTCCTCAATCGAACAACTCCAAATATAAGGCCCGGGCGATTGTGACAAATGAGTACACTTTGATAACCGTTGGTTCCCCTAAGAAGGTTTGAACCATAACCAAAGAGGCTGGTAAAAATTTTGTTCATGAATATCTCGAATCCGATGCGTTTTTGATAAAGAAAAACCTTTGGATTTCATCCGGTCAACTTTATTGAGAGTTAACTCGTTCGGATAGAAGTCCATGCAAAAGGCAAGAATGTCGTTCGATCAGACCCTTCTATTAACAAATCTGCCTTGGGGAAGCACCTAGCAAGTCAGAATGCTCGGCAACGGTCAGCTTATACGAATTGTGCTTACCAAGACTTGTTTCGATCACTCGAATAGTTCGAACGAATCAGATGTCATCGGAACAGAGCACTGAACTCAGATTTATCATCGTGCCTAGTAAACAACTACAACTTCCAGCTTGTTGATTTGGCAACCTCCGTTCGTGTAAACACGCCAAGTAAGCCGGACGGCTGGTGTGGAGCACCGGTCGACCGAGAAGTGACGGAACAGAGAATAGCAATATCCTTTGTGTTGAATGTGCACTTTGACGACTGAAAACAGCAAACAATTGTTTTTTGCGTACAAACTCATTACTGTCGTTCACAGATGGAACTTAAAAATTGAATTTTAGTGGTGATTGCTCAACTCGATCAGAAAATCTAATTCCCACGATTGAATGTTTTTGTTTATTGTCTGAGTTTAGTTTTTTTGTTGAGCAAAGGAATAGCAGCGAGCCGAAACAAGTACAAACATGCTTGGTATTAACCGAGTAAGCTGACGTAGTACCCTAAATACAGTGGTGGTTAGATATGCTCATGGAGGTCTGTATCACTGATTAAGTTATCATGAGTCTGTCACAGATGATGGATTCGTTTGAATATTATCTAAGAAACACGTAAGCACCATTTGAGAGTGAAGTATCTTCCATCTGTATGAGGACTGATCCTTGGTAGAGAATTTGGTGCGATTTTGGTGCGTCTTGTTAATGCTTCGTCTAATTGAATACGATCATAAATCCGAAAAAATCTTTCCATTAGGTGTCTTGGAATTCGCCTCCAGAGGAGAGAGAGAGGTATTCTATGCTTGCTCTATGTTGTTCTTCTAATTGACTTTACGTGAATCTCCCACTCATGTGCATTTCATTAACCATCCATCCACAATTATGAACCCAAATTTGTGGGAACGAATAATGATTCTGTCGAGGATATTGACGTGGTTAAACTAGCTTGGCCATCTGTCTGTCAATCTCACAAGTTCCGGACCAAATGGTTCACCGGGAACAGCTGTGAAGAATATGGAAGAAAGCAAAATTATTGCGTCAACCATCGTTTGGTTTTGTTTCAGTATTCAATTTTGTGTGGCTCCCGTCTTCTATTTTGAAATTGTAGCCCCACACAGTTGTCCGGACTGAGGTCTATCTAAAAGAGGCAAACGAAGAATATGTTACATAAACTAAGCCACTCACTCATCGAACTTTTCATCGGTCTTGCATGCTTTGGAACATGCAACCTGCACAAGGTTGCGACTTACATACCGTTGTACACTGACTGGACCAAACTACTCAAGGCCTGATATCTGAAAATGAGATAAACCCCGAATGGGGTAGCCCGTCCCCTCCAGCATATGCATAGCGGCAAAGCAGCCGTAAAAGCTAGTGAACTGTACTTTGAAAATGCACCTTGGTTGATCAGTTCCGGAAATGCACGAGGGGTCACACGTTATTTGAAGTAATATCCATCTGTTTATCTTAGTTGACCATTTCATCGAGGGCTTACCCTGGTCATCTGGCGCCAACAAAATGTGTTTTTCAATCTCAGTTTTCATTGGAATGGACCAATTCCTCATAAATATTGGCGTAACACTTTCTACGGCTTCCAGTATACGTCGATATTCGACGACTTAAGTGAACGCCCCGTACTGCAACTGGTCTATCCATATAATTAAGTACAATTAGTAAAGTCGGAGTCAGACCTATTGTCCTCACACGCAAAATAAAATGATGATTGAAAATCGAACAAATTCTTTGAGTCGATCCGGAATATTTGTTACACAAAATAATCGTGCCTGTAGGCCAGGAATGCTAGCTTGTTCATCCAATAAATTTCAAGAAGGGCACACAAAAACTGCTGTCTTTCTTTATACTTTGGGTCCGTCCGACCCAAAGGGGATAAGCCTGAGTTCTTGTGGTATCCAAAACGCCATATATCTTTTTCACCACAAAATTTCAAGCTGCACAAAGTGGGTTATTTATACTTCTCAATAAATCCTACATCTCCAACAAGGATGAGACAAGATACTTTACCTTAGGATTGAGGAAAATGGAATCAGCGCTTAGATCGTTTCCAAATATTTCTATGTAGTTCTGTGAAATTCGCCCTCAAACACAAGGAATGCAAGTTCGGAGGAGTCAAGTGGTCAGATGGCGATCTACACTTATTTGGAAATTAAGCTGGGTTAAATGGATGACTGGTCCTAACCCCGGCTGAATTATTCACTATTTATATTCTTCAACCGCTTGCACCGTAGAGAAGCCACCTAATGCTTCTTGATATCAAGGTCTTAGCATGACATAAAGTATTCATTTCTACATGAAAGTGGCCTACACAACTATTACCAACTACTTATGGCAAGGGGAACCTTATAGTTTAATATTCAACACTTAATAAAAACCCAACCTTATAGCTCCAAAGGTCCTGATTCTATGGAATCTTGCTCTCGGGTTTACGGGAATTTGTTCATTTCGACGAGCTGAATACAAAAACTTGGAATCGCGCCAAAGGATTTTCTCTTTGCTGTATTGCCTGAGTGTTAAAAATGCTCGGATAGATTTTCAAACTGTGTACATACACTTAAACGATTTTTTTATTCATGGCGCTCGGGACCTTAACCCAACGAATAAGGCTCATTTTAAGATTGGTTGAGAAATCTCTGGATCGATTTAGAACGTTTTAACCAAAACCATGATGCATACCTCGGTTTAAAGGTAGCCATTATTTACTGTTCAGCTAAACAAAGCCCTGCTGTTTATTGACATGAGACTTATGGAGTATTTGACGTCACTTTGATGTAACGGCAATGCACGGAGGCAATCAGTGACCGGTTTCTCGTTAATCTGTTAACTATGGGTTTAAGTTTTCATTCCAGGTTCTGTTTCACTAATCCACAATTCTGACTTCTAATAGTTTCATTCTATTTATTCATTTTTACTTTCACATATATTACACACATACTAGTATATTTCTTCGGCTTTCGCATCTTTGCTTATGACCAATTATCCACTACTCAACCACTCTTCCCACGTGATCTTCGCACTGACTGCGTATATCAGTAAGGTTCCTTCGTGTGGCGTTAACTAATGAACCTTCGCAAATCGGTTCTTCTCATAAAATACCTGTAGCTGCAGTTTGGATTAAGCACTAAGCTGCGATCCAGTATGATAATTCGCAAGCATTTCACGTGGACCCCTTAGGTCACTTCACCCAGGACGCATATGTCTGCACTGCCGAGAGCGCAAAACTATTCTACCGACCTTGCTAGCAGTGGTACAAGGTAAGCTTGGACACCAAGATATTCCGACTGAATTAAGTAGATTGGGCTTGAACACGTTATAAAATGTTTATTCAGTGACTATTATTAATGGAAACATATACCAGATGCCCGTCAACTCGGTTCAGAACCCATTTGAAAGGTTTCGGTGAGGATTAGTAATGCTACTTGTTTTTGCAGTGAAGCATGGCGCCGCGTTTTCCCTCTCATTGTGTCACTTTGACACCCAGATGCGAAATGACCTTGAACTGCAAAGTATATTTTTGTGGCACCACCGAAGAAAGAGCGTTGGGTTGTATCGATCGAATCCTTCCAGTGGTGAACACGCTTCATCGTTTGCATAAAGGATACCACGCAAAAAGCTGTTGAATATCATAAGTGAGGGATTCAGCTGGGTCTCAGATACATCTACCGAGGAAGGCGAATTGGTGCACAAATGGGTGTGTATGCGGAATGCTTCATTACTGTTCAAGACCCAGATTACGAATTATGGGTTATCTGGAATGACTGGGTCACAAAATCCCACTGGAAAAGTCGACCAGTAAATTGAACAGCCAAGCGTATGCCCAGGGAGTGCGTACGACTCCCACTTGCAGTCTAATCCTTGAACGGTTTATGTGCACCTCCGACATTGTAGTACATAGTGCTCATTTTATGCCTCAAATACGGTGACCACCCATCAGCACGAAAGTTTAAATAAGTGCAATACTTCCAAATGAATACATCTGTTCGCCCAAGCTATTTTGCAGCATACGGTATATTGACTTACCTTCAGTTGCAATCGTTTAAGTGTAAAAAATGGAATGTCTGTATGCATTTATGTGCCTAAAT